GAGAAAATAAAAGTATATTATTCTAATTTTCCTTTTTAAAAAAATGTCAATTGGTTTTTGGGGAACAGATGGTCTTTGGTTACATGAATAAATTTTTTAGTGGTGGTTTAAGATTTTGGTGCACTCAAGCATCACACAAGCAGCATACACAATATCCAATCCATAGCCTTTTATCCCTCACCCCCCCACACACTTTGCCCCCAAGTCCCCAACCTCCATGTGTCATTCTTATGTCCTTACCTCCTCATAGCATAGTTCCCGCTTACGAGTAAGAACGTATGATGTTTGGTTTTTCATTTGTAATTTTCTTATGCCATATGTGACAAGGCATAATATTTTTGAAGATGGACTGTGATCAGTTAAAATCATATACTATATAAAATCATATACTGTAGTGCAATCACTGAGATAGAAAAAAATAGTTATTGCTAATAAGCCATAAAAGGGAGATTAAAAATAAATCACAAAAATTACTAGACTAATTGAGAAGAAAGCAGAAAAAGAAGAGAACAAAGAACTGCAGGGACCAATGGAAATCAAAAAGCATGATGACAGATAAACCTAACTGCATCAATAAGCACATTATAAATGAAACTGGCCTAAAAATCTCATTTAAAAGGCAGATTATCAGATTGGATAAAAATGCAAGAACCTATTACATGCTTCCTATAAAAAAAAAAAAAAAAAAACTTTAGGCTGGGTGCAGTGGCCCACGCCTATAATCCTAGTACATTGGGAGGCTGAGACAGGAGGATCACAAGGTCAGGAGTTCAAGACCAGCCTGGCCAACATGGTGAAACCCTGTCTCTACTAAAAATACAAAAAATTAGCTGGGTGTGGTGGCATGCAACTGTAACCCCCAGCTACTTGGGAGGCTGAGGCAGGAGAATCGCTTGAACCCAGGAGGCAGAGGTTGCAGTAAGCCGAGGTTGCGCCACTGCACTCCAGCCCGGGCAACAGAGTGAGACTCTGTTTCAAAAAAAAAAAAAAAAAAAAAGGAAAGAAAGAAAGAAAAGAAAAACACTTTAAATTTAAAAAGACAAATTGTTCAGAAAGACGTTAAAAGATATACCAGGTTAAGAGTTGACAAAAGAAGCCTGAGAAGAAATGGCTATGTTAACGCCGAAGTAAATTTCACAGCAAAAATATTTACCAGCTACAAACAGTTATTTCCTCATGACTTTTGAAAGTTCAGTTAATCAGGAACATATAATCTTAAGTGACTGAGTACCTAATAACAGCTTCAAAATATATGAGGCAAAAATTGATAGAACAAATAGACAAATTCACAAGTACAGTCTGACATTTGAATATTACTCAGTAAGTGATAAAACAAGGGAGCAGCAAATCAGCAAGAAGCGGGTAGACTTGAACAACACCATGCTTCTCTAGTACCCGGGGAGCACGTTCCAAAACACACCACATTCTAGGTTCTGCAATCAAGCTTAGCAAAAGAACTAAGTCAGAAGGACTTAACTCATACGAAGTATGTTCTCTGACCACAAAGCAATCAAATCAGAAATCAATAACAAAATATCTCATCAAAATACTCAAATATTTTAAAACAAAGTAACACACATCTAAACAACCCTAGGTCAAAGACACGATGCAAAGAGAAATTAAGTGTATTGTGAATGGAATGAAAATGAAAATACTACCTATCAACATCTGTGGAACACAGCTACGACAGTACTTAAAATTTTTTTAGCACTTAATGTCTATATTAGAAGCTCGAGCTGGTAATCCCAGCACTTTGGGAGGCCGAGGCGGGTGGATCACGAGGTCAAGAGATCGAGACCATCCTGGTCAACATGGTGAAAACCCGTCTCTACTAAAAATACAAAAAATTAGCTGGGCATGGTGGCGCGTGCCTGTAATCCCAGCGACTCAGGAGGCTGAGGCAGGAGAATTGCCTGAACCCAGGAGGCGGAGGTTGTGGTGAGCCGAGATCGCGCCATTGCACTCGAGCCTGAGTAACAAGAGCGAAACTCCGTCTCAATAAAAAAAAAAAAAGACTTTCAAGTCAATGGTCTTGACTTCTGTCTTAAGCAACCAAAAAAAAAAAAAAAAAAAGAAGAAGAAGAGGAGGAAACTAAAAAAAAGAACAAATTAAACCTAAAGCAAGCAGAGGAAATGACATAATAAACATACGCGGACTCCGGCGCGCCAGGCCCAACCACAGCTTCTCGGCTTAAGCACCTCCACTTGCAGCACCGACTCCGAGGCCACCTCCAGCAATGGCCTTTGCAAATCTGCAGAAAGTGCTCATCGATGACAGCGTGGACCCTTGCTGCCGGAGGATCTTGCAAGACTGAGGGCTGCAGGTGGTGGAGAAGCAGAACCTTAGCAAAGACGAGCTGATAGCCGAGCTGCAGTTCATGGGAACAGAGCTGAACGGGAAGATCCTGGGAATTCTGGGCCTGGGCGGGATTGGGAGGGAGGTGGCTACCCGGATGCAGTCCTTTGGGATGAAGACGATAGGGTATGACCCCATCATTTCCCCAGAGGTCTCGGCCTCCTTTGGTGTTCAGCTGCTGCCCCTGGAGGAGATCTGGCCTCTCTGTGATTTCATCACTGTCCACACTCCTCTCCTGCCCTCCACCACAGGCTTATTGAACAATAGCACCTTTGTCCAGTGCAAGAAGCGGGTACGTGTGGTGAACTGCGCCCGCGGAGGGATCGTGGACGATGGCGCCCTGCTCTGGGCCCTGCAGTCGGGCCAGTGTGCCGGGGCTGCGCTGGACGTGTTTACGGAAGAGCCACCACAGGACCGAACCTTGGTGGACCATGAGAATGTCATCAGCTGTCCCCACCTGGGCGCCAGCACTAAGGATGCGCAGAGCCGCTGTGGGGAGGAAATTGCTGTTCCGTTCATGGACATGGTGAAGGGGAAATCTCTCACAGGGGTTGTAAATGCCCAGGCCCTTATCAGCGCCTTCTCTCCACACACCAAGCCTTGGATTGGTCTGGCAGAAGCCCAGGTCTGATGCGAGCCTGGGCTGGATCTCCCAAAAGGACCATCCAGGTGATAACACCAGGAACATCCCTGAAGAATGCTGGGAACTGCCTAAGCCCTGCAGTCATCATCGGCCTCTTGAAGGAGGCTTCCAAGCAGGCGGATGTGAACTTGGTGAACGCCAAGCTGCTGGTGAAAGAGGCTGGCCTCAGTGTCACCACCTCCCACAGCCCGGCAGCACCAGGGGAGCAGGGCTTCGGGGAATGCCTCCTGGCTGTGGCCCTGGCAGGCGCCCCTTACCAGGCTGCGGGTTTGGTCCAGGGCACCATACCTGTGCTGCAGGGGCTCAATGGAGCTGTCTTCAGGCCGGAAGTGCCTCTGCAGGGGCCTGCCCCTGCTCCTATTCCAGACTCAGGCTTCCGACCCTGCAATGCTGCCTACCATGATTGGCCTCCAGGCAGAGGCTTTCCTACCAGACTTCACTGGTGTCAGAGGGGGAGACCTGGCATGTCATGGGCATCTCCTCCTTGCTGCCCAGCCTGGAAGCATGGAAGCAGCATGTGACTGAGGCCTTCCACTTTCACTTCTAACCTTGGGGCTCATGGGTCCCTGCCTCTGGGGCTTTTCTGAAGAAACCTACCCACTGTAATCAACAGAGAGAGAAGATCCACATTCTTGAGCTGAACACACAGGCCTCTGATACTGCTTAAACAGCGCTCATCTGACCCTACAGTACAGCAATAACCATCTAATAAAGACCCTACCAGCAAAAAATAAAAAATAAACATATGCCATGGTTGACATTTGCATCTTCCCAGAACTTAAGTTTATGTTAAGTTTATGCTGAAACTTAATCACAGAGGTGATGTTTTCAGAAGGTGGGGCTTTGTGGAGGTAATTAGTGCTGGGAACCAAGCCCTAATGAATGCAAGTAGTGCTCTTATATAATAGACTGCAGAGGGCTCATTTACCCATCCTGCCATGTGAGGACACAGGGGGCAAAAAGGGATCTATGAACCCGGAATTGGTCCCTCACCAGACACCAAATCTGCCATCACCTGGGTGTTGGACTTCTGTGAGAAATCTATTCTGTTGTTTATAAGCCACCCAGCCTATAGTATTTTGTTACAGCGGCCGAACAGACCATAACATCAAAGATGAAACCAATAAAACAGAAACACAATAGGAAAAAATCAATTACAACCAAACACTTTGAGGAGGTCAAAAAAAGTGATGAAACTCTCTAGTCAGGTGGTCATAGAAAAGAAGATGCAAATGACTAACTTCAGAAACATAGTAATACGGCATTGTACAGATTCGACAGACACTCAAAGAATAGCAGTATAATAAGGTCAGCTTTATGTGACTAAACATGACAACTCTGATGAAACGGACACTTTCCTTGAAAAATAAAAACTACGACAGTTCAATCAAGAAGGAATAACCTGAACTGTTCTGTATCTATAAAAGAAAATAAAGCATAAGTAAAGCCTTCCTAGAAAGAAAACTCCAGGCCAGATATCTATGTTCTGGTGAATTCTACCAAATATTTAATAAGTAATACAACAATTTTACATGGCTTCTCCCCTAGCCCTCAAAAAAAAAAAAAATGCAACTCATCCTGTCACTCTAGCATTACCCTGAACCAAAATCTGACAATGATATTACAAAAAAGGAAAACTTCCTCATGAACGTGGACATAAAAATTTAACCAATTTCTGAAGAAACCAAGATACCCAACTTTAGGTGACAGAACCACCTCTGGTACAGTCATGCAATAATGAGCTATCATGTCATGAGAAGACATGAAGGAACCACAAAGGCATATTACCAAGTGAAATATGCAGTCTAAAGGCTGCACATTGTATAATACCAACTATATGACATTTTAGAAAAGGCAAAACTATAGAGACAGTAAAAAAAAATCAGTGGTAGCCAGGAGTTGGGGAGGGTGGGAAAAGATGAACAGATGAAGCACAAAGGAGTTTTAAAACCCTGAAACTACTTTGGATAATACTACAATGATACATACATGTCCTTATACCTTTGTCTAAATTCACAGCAGTTAAGACACCAAGACTGAACTCTAATATAAACTATGGACTTCGGGTGATTATGACATGTCAATTCACGATCATCAATGAGATCAACTGTACCACTCTGGTGAGGGACTGATAATTGTGGAGGCTATGAACGTGTTGGGGGCAGGTAGTACAGTGATAATCTTTGTGCCTTACTTTCAGTTTTCCTGTGAAGCAAAAACTACTCTAAAAGATGGTCCTCTAAAAATTTCTAAATAAAATTTTGGCAAATCTAATATACTAGAAGGATAATACATCATTAACAAGTGAGGTTGATCCCAAAACACGGGGTTGGTTTGCCATCAGTTACTCACCACCTTAACAAACTTTTTAGATGGTCAGAAGAACCATCTGACCATCTCAGTAGATTTGGCATTTGATAAAATACAACATTCATTCCTGATTTAAAAGAAATTCCTCTTAGTAACTAAAGAATACAAGGGAAGGCCATCAGCATGATAAAGAGCATCTCTGATAAAGCTACAACTAACACGCATCATGATGAAAAACTGAACGCTTTCCCTGTAAGATCAGGAACACAGGAATGTCTCCTTTCAGTATTTGAGCAGCAGTGTACTGAAGCCAGTGCAGTTAGGCAAGAAAAGGAAATAAAAGCTATCTGGGTTGAAAGGAAGAAGTAAAACTGTCTTTATTCACAATCATGATCACATAATAGGGACAGGTAAAATCCAACCTGTGGGGAAGCTTCTTATTTTTACAAATAAAGTTTTATTGGAATGCAGCTGTGTTTTTTTAAATATGTTTTATTGCACTTTAGGTTCTGGGGTACATGTGCAGAACATGCAGGATTGTTACACAGGTACACATATGGCAATGTGGTCTGCTGTCTCCATCCCCTTGTCACCTACATCTGGCATTTCTCCCCAGGTTATCCATCCCCAACCTCTCTACTGTCCCTCCCCTATTCCCCCACAACAGACCCCAGAATGTGATGCTCCCCTCCCTGTGTCCATGTGTTCTCATTGTTCAACATCTGCCTATGACAACATGTGGCGTTTGATTTTCTGTTCTTGTGTCAGTTTGCTGAGAATGATGCTTTCCAGATTCATCCACGTCCCTACAAAGGACACAAGCTCATAATTTTTTATGGCTGTATAGTATTCCATGGTGTATATGTGCCACATTTTCCTTGTCCCATCTATCACTGATGGACATTTGGGTTGGTTCCAGGTCTTTGCTATCGTAAACAGTGCTGCAATGAACATTCATGTGCATGTGTCTTTACAACAGGATGATTTAGAATCCTTTGGATATATACCCAATAATGGTATTGCTGGGTCAAATGGAATTTTTGTTTCTAGGTCCTTGAGGAAGCGCCACACTGTCTTCCCCAATGGTTGAACTAATTTACGCTCCCGCCAACAGTGTTCCTGTTGTGTTCCTATTTCTCCACATCCTTTCCAGCATCTGTTGTCTCCAGATTTTTTAATGATCGTCATTCTAAGTAGCATGAGATGGTATCTCCACATGGTTTTGATTTGCATTTCTCTAATGACCAGTGATGATGAGCATTTTTTCATAGGTTTATTTGCCTCATATATGTCTTCTTTCGAAAAAGGTCTGTTCATATCCTTTCCCCACTTTTAAATGTTTTTTTTTTTCCTTGTAAATCTGTTTTAGTTCTTTGTAGATTCTGGATATTGGCACTTTGTCAGATGGGTAGATTGCAAAAATTTTTCCCATTCTGTTGGTGGCTGGTTCACTCTAATGATTGTTTCTTTTGCTGTGTAGAAGCTCTGGAGTTTAATTAGATCCCATTTGTCTATTTTGGCTTTTGTTTATTTTGGCTTTTTGTTGTCTATTTCGGCTTTTGGTATTTTAGACATGAAGTCCTTGCCTATGCCTATGTACTGAATGGTTTTGCCTAGATTTTCTTCTAGGGTTTTTATGGTGTCAGGTCTTATGTTTAAGTTTTTAATCCATCTGGAGTTAATTTTAGTGTAAAGTATCAGGAAAGGATCCCGTTTCTGCTTTCTGCACATGGCTAGCCAGTTTTCCCAACACCATTTATTAAACAGGGAATCCTTTCCCCATTGCTTGCTTTTGTTAGGTTTGTCAAAGAGCAGATGGTTGTAGATGTGTGGCTCTGCCTCCAAGGCCTCTGTTCTGTTCCATTAGTCTATATCTCTGTTTCGGTACCAGTACCATGCTGTTTTGATTACTGTAGCCTTGTAGTATAATTTGAAGTCAGGTAGCATGATGCCTCCAGCTTTGTTCTTTTTGCTTAGAACTGACTTGGCTATGCAGGCTCTCTTTTGGT